TTTCTCAACGTTGGCACCACTGACATGTTAGGTCTGATCATTCTTTGTTGTGGGGGCCCTTATTGTGCCTTGTAGGATGTGTAGCAACATCCCTGGCCTCTACCCACTAGATGCCAGTAACATCCTCTCCCCAGCAGTGGTAACAACGAAAACATCTCTGGATGTTGTCAAATGTCCCCTGGGGTGGAGGGCAAAACCACTCCTGATTGACACCACAAACTGTCCAAAATGCCACGCCACCAGTAAGTGATAATTGACTCCATTCCCACAGAGACCCGCTGGACTTCACATCTGCTCTGCCTAATGGGACTGGGTTGCTAGAAGTATCTTCAGACACCAGTGGGGTTGTCTCCAGCAAGAAGACTGCAGACCACACATTATTATGTATTAAGAGCTCTTTACTCAACCAGGATAGACTCCTGCAGACTAAGGTAGACTTCTCCGATGAGCTTGTTTTTCTCTCTAATGAGACACAGGTCATGATGCATATTAAAGAGCTATTGTGGTCAATAGTGCAACTGATCAAATAGTTCTACTCTCCCAATTTGGGGCTCAAAGCAGGACTGAATTTTCTGGCCCCCCTTATGGTTGGGCAGTGCCTTGCAACAAGTTCTGAGCAATGAGCTGAGTGGAGCCCTATGTTACTTTGAGGCCAGAGCACTGAATCCATCACAGGAGAACCTCCGAGCTTTCTCCTCCACCTGGCAGGGTAGCTGGCAATGTCTGAGGAGGGGCCTCTCTGAAGGCCTGGGTCCCTGAGTGACTGTAACAGGAGAATACTACTGCCCACCTGCGATAAACATATAGCATGAATAGGAAATAAATCTTGCGTGTTTTAAGTCACTGAGACTTTAACGTTATCTGTTAGCTTAGCATAATTCCACTTACTCTGACAGATGTAAGACCTGACAGCTAATAAAAAGATTGAAAAATAGATTTATGTTAAGTCAAAGTCACCTGTATTAAAGCAGGAAATGTAATATAAGACCAATTAGAACTTCCTTGAGTCTTAGGGTTCACTATTTTCATTCATTAACCATCTAGTATTTGAAAATTATTTCAATGTAAGGGTTTCTTCATCTGATATGGTATGCAAATTATATTATTCTATTACACCAAATCTTCTTTTTTCACTCATTTTAAAAATATTTATTGAACAATAAATATATGCCAAGTATTATTTGGGATAACTTTCCACTTCATACTATTATTAACACCTTTCTTTTGATGATTCCAGGCAGGAGAGAGAGAGAGAGAGAGCTCACTTGAACATCTAAAAAGGAAGATGTTTAGGAAATGAATTGAAGTTTTTTGTTTTTGTTTTAACTTTTTTTTTTAAATATATTTTATTGATTTTTTACAGAGAGAAAGGGAGAGAGATAGAGAGTTAGAAACATCGATGAGAGAGAAACATCAGCTGCCTCCTGCACATCCTCCACTGGGGATGTGCCCGCAACCCAGGTACATGCCCTTGACCGGAATCGAACCTGGGACCCCTCAGTCCGCAAGCCGACGCTCTATCCACTGAGCCAAACCGGTTTCGGCTTGTTTTAACTTTTGATTGGAAATGATTTCACATGCCAGGCCAGGAATTTCCCACGTTTATCACTTCCTTTCTTACTTGTAAAACATGGATGATTTTGTGGACTTCCACTCAGAGGATAGGCTGAGCAATGGACTGGAGGCAGACCAACGAGGTTTGAATTGTGCCTTCATAACTGGGTGCATGGGCGACTTTAGACAAGTGACTTAACCTCCCTGCGCCTTCTTTTCCTCAGCTGTAAAATGGTGATCGCAATAGTGCCTACTTCACAGGACTGTTGTAAAGAGTAAATAACACAATGCATAAAGCGCTCAGAACAGTACTTGCCATATGTTAAGTGTTCAAGAAATGTCAGCTCTAATGTTTTAAAAGAACATTCTAGTAAGTGTTGAATGAAGCACGGAGTGGGACTACAGCATGGCAGCTTTCTTCACCATTTCATCTTAAATGTCTAGTTCAGTGCTTGGCACAAAGTCGATATTTAAAACAGCATTTATTGAACACATACAGGAATGAGTTGGGATGAGGAAACCAACTCCAGGTTCTCTCCTAACTTTACCATTCCCTGCTGCCAGTCCCACACGTGGCCCAGCTGTGAGAACTTGGAGCCGTCACTGTCCTAGATCTCTCTCCCCTTTTGTTAAAAGAAAGAATGACACCAAAGAGCTATAAACTCAAATCAATATTCTGAATCGATCTCATTTTTCAGAAAAAGGATTATAAAGACCTTACGACATAATTTAAAAATACTTAAGGCATACTTGAAAATAATCAACTGTATGGAGACTCTACAAAGTTGCTCTATTATCATTTTACCATTTTCCAAAAAAAAAAAAAATTAATGGAGATTGTTTGTTTCATCACAAAGGGCAGAACAACTCATTGGCACTGATGGCACCACTCAGACATGCGCTAGCTCTCCCTAAGAGCTCTGCGGAGAGCGAAGAGGAAGGAAGTTGGATAAAGAGTCATTAATGTACGAACTCGTAACTAGAAGACTACATTCTGGAGATCTAATGGTGATTATGGTCAACAATACTGTATTAAATATTGAAAAATTTCTAAAAGACTAGAACTTTAATGTTTTTACCACAAAACAGAAATGACGTGATAGAGGTCTAAGCTAAAGCTATGGTGGTAATCATTCATATTGCGATATATCAAAGTAAACACTTTGTACATCTTAAACATATATGATGTTATATATAAATCATATCTCAAGAAAAAAGTAATTAATGCTCTTGCAGTCATATATATTAACTTTTTATAAGAAAACCATTTCCTTACCAATTACATAGGTAGGATTGTTGACAACATTGAAAGTCATTCTTCTGGCTGATGTTAAACAGTATGGAAACTGGTTGTATGATATGCCTTTTAGACAAGCTGATGAGGCACCAGGCAAGGAAGTGCAGGCCTGCCAGGCAGCCCTTTCTGTGGGGTACTGGATGGTGACTTGGGAAAAAAGAAGGTTGACACTTGCAGAAAATTTAGGGTCAGAAAACAAGAACATGGAAGGGTAGCAGAAAGTAGTGGTTAAAGTACTACCTAGTTGTGTGATCCTACTTAATTTCTTTAAGCCTCAGTTTCCCCACCTGAGGGGAAAAAAATGGAGAACGATGCTTAGAACGAGGCTTAGAACAATGCCTGGAATACAGGGCTTGTTAAATAAACCAGAATGGTGACAAGAATGGCTGACGTTACACCGGGTGGCCTGTTAGGACACGTCTGGAGTGAAGCCGGGCGAGGTGGCTTCTAGGAGCACAACCTGAAAGCCATCAGGCTCATTCATCTGCACAAGTCAGGCTCCTTCTGTGGGGCAAGGCAAAGTGCTGTAGCCACAAAGCGAGTCCATTTATATTTGAAATGCCAGAGATGGACCAGAGGATAAGGCCAGAAAGAGCCGCGTGAGACTAGGAAGAGAAGCAAGCACATAGATGGTATGATGCCCCTGTCTGGGGGCTGCCCCAGCCTTCTTTAACTAGTTCACAGCATCCTTGGAACCTATTAGTTACATGTGTGTCTTCCTAAGGCAGAGGTCTCTGAGGGTGGGGACTCTGTCCTGCTCACAATGGATCCACCTTCCACAGTGCTCAGTGAAAACATGTTGGAATGAAGCTGAGGTGAGGAATAAGATCGGCCTGTAACTACTAGCACTCAGTACTTGGGCCCTTCACTGCTCCCCACCTCACTTTCAATCCTTCGTGCTCCTCTAAATAACTCAATGTTAATGTACGAGAGGAGACCGTAAGGCCAAGAACGCAGCCCTTTGAGTAAAATCCTAGTCTTGTTTGGTGTAGGGGCCTACAAACTCTCCATAGAACTGGCCCAGGAGACTTCAGCAAAGGGACATCCTCTAGACGCCTAACTCATCAACTGACACAAGTCAAACTGAACTCAGCCACGCTGCAAATGGGCTGACGGTTTCTTCCTTCTTTCTTTACAGCCACGCATCAACCAAATTATTTTCTGGGGAGGGGGAGGGGGGGTGGGGGGTGAGATAAACATTTACACATAATTGTAAGATTAGAAACTGAGGTAAGCACCATGAAGTAGAAGTATAGGTTCCATGAGACCATGATACAGCTTCATATTAAAAGAAAATGCCCTTGAGCTAAGAGCAAAAGGATAAAATAGAAATAAACAGGCAAATGCCCAAAGGTCTAAGGAAGCCAGGGGCCTTAGAGGAACAGAAGAAAGATTGGTCTCCACAAGCCCAGAGGGCATAAGATGAGCCATATCAGATGAGGCTAGGGAGGTACAGGCTGGGTGTAGTTCTTAGCATTGAATCAGAATCAAGAAGTACTACTAGGTGAGGGTAAACCTTAAGTGGTCTTTAAGAGTTATAATGCTCCATGGTAAAGGTCATTTCTGAACTTTAGTTATCTGTCTATTTGGAGTTAAAAAATGCTGAACAGCCAAAGCTTAAAAAACACAAATACTTAAGTGCTTAGGATTTTTGCTAATTTTCTCAAGTTCAATAAATATGTATGGACCAATGACAACAATAACATGGGCTGTGGCCTACTCTACATTACACGTTTGATGCCCAAATGCTTTACATAGGCCACCTAACAGATGGTAATGCATTTCAGCCATCACCACGTGAGCAGGATTCAAGCCAATGATCCCAGAGGTGAGAGGTTGTATATCCAATTACAAATTTCCACTTTCCTTAAGTGTGAAGATGCCTAAAGCAATATATTGTACTTACATCTAGCTGCATTGTATAAACTATATCTGATAAAAGAGATGACTTCACGTTCTCGACTTAAGTCAAAGAATGCTTACTTAAGTATTTTTTTTAATTGAATCCCGCTTTAATGCCATTGTATAATCTTTTGGTTAACAGTGCTCATCTTGATTATTCTAACAAAGGGAAACATGGAAGTTAATATGTAATCTGTAGCGCTATGCCATCTATAAAAATACACACGGGAAAATTCAAAATAGATACCTGGAACATCTGTGAAGGTTTCTCCAAGGACGGATACGTGGAAATTGAGTCCTAAGTCCTTAAGGTGCATTAATACCTTAAAAAAACTATCAGGATCTTTATCGTGCTCCCTGGAAATAAACACAAAATATAACTTGTGGTACCTTAGGGTCTGCGTTAAGAAAAGCATTTTCATTTCTCACAGTATCAGTTCCTTTCATGGTCCATTGTTAGGAGAGTCTCTGGTGTCCAAGCAGAGATTTCCCCCATCACCTTATATTGTCGCATCAACACTGAATTTTTTCATAAATATTATTTGCCATGTATCAACACCCAGTCCTATTGAATCTTAAGGGTCTGCAGCCTTTTATTAAAGGAAAAGTCTATCATGTTTTTCACATTTTTTTTTGTTAGATTATAGAAAGGCTAGTGTAGTTTCCTCTCCCCTAAAATGATTAATTTCCCACATAACACAGGTTTTAAGAAGAGAAGACCAGTCTTTAAAGGATGGCTCTGCTGATCATGAGGATGTACCAAACATGCTTGCCATTTCCATGAGTGTGAATACCTTCCCCTCGCAGTCGCTGAGCCCTTGGTGTCCACAAGGCATACATGATTTAGGAAGTGAGACTACAGACTCTCTCACCAATCTCTATTTCAAATAACTGAATGGAGAATTATAAATACATCAAAAGGGGTTGGCCTGAGTCTAAGTCCACTGACATTAACTTAGGAGTGGAGGTGAGTTGACACATAATTCTTTCATTTCATACAGACTTTAAAAAAAACATGGCTTATTTTTGTTTGTTTAGCTTGTCAGTCTTCGTTGCAATGACAGAATGAGAGGCTAAAGGACACAAAAATAAAAAAAAAAAACAATTCAAGAATCACATTAAAATGAGTGAGTTATTTTTTACATTCTAAGGTGTGAATATTCTAGTATTTCTTGCCTTTAATTACACTGTTTTAAATTATCTTATTTCACACAGATGTGGACCAGATGTCTTCAAAATATTTGCTTTTTTATTTATAATTCAGAATTTTAATTTATTTTCTATATCACAGAGAAATAGTTATATATCAGCAATTGAATTTCTCATTTACCAACTAATTATGTAAAAATAAATCTGTAAATTGATCAAACTGAGATATAAAATATGAAAATTACATCATTTAAGAAATCTCATGAAAAATGACATCTGCAAACCTAAATATGTTAATTCCCAATTCAGTCAATATTTTCAGTATCAAGAATTAAAACAAATGCATCTTCTGAATAACATTTAAAAATGGCATTTCTAATCTCATGCAATTGTAAATTCTTACAGGATCAGAATTCAGTAACAAGTTATTTTAAGCTCTATATTGCTCAGTTTGACTTACTGCATATAATAAAGAATGCAGTGGCAAAGTGCTCTTGTCTTTTTAAGATAATGCGGGTTACATACATGTACCATGGGGAAGTTTTGGGATAGTTCTCAAATACACACACTACTGCTGTAGGCAACAAAAAGACCCCAAATAGTTCGAGAGCAAAGAGTACACCATTTGCTACCTCCACCCATATCAATCAAATAGCTGCCACTTAATCTGTAATGTGTTCTTTTAGTTTGATTCTTTTGGAAATACTTAGATGAAAAGAATGGAAACAATACAACATAATATATCTTAAAGAGGGAGTAACCCTATAGGGACATTTAGCCACTTAGCTTCTCTAAATTTTTTATTTTGAGTTCCAAAAATTTTGGCTATGGATCCCCAAGAGAGTATTTATTCTAAATATTTCCTGCTGGTGTTGTGTTTGTTTGTTTTGTATTAAAGTAAATGTAGCTGTGGTTTGGGGTTGAGAGGAGGTTTAGTTGGGTAGAAGCTATAGTTCTTAAAAGATTCCAATGTGCTTCCAAAGCAGCAGGCTTTATAAACCTCTATTTTCAGTGTTTTTATAAGAGATAAATGCATTACAATCCTACTGTACTTTTAAGGTAATTTTTATTGGTGAACAAAAGCTTTCATATTCAATAGTCACTCTGCATAAGAACACAAAAGAGATTTGTATGAATCTCCTCCTTTTTTGATTACACTGTAAGGACGAATGTAAGGTGAGATTTTTTTCTTACCCAAAATTATCCCTGAGAAAAAGAATCATGTTATACTAAAGTTCTTATAAAGTTTCTCATAATACCAGGCACTCTCTCAATTATTTTGAACCCAGCTCTGTTTAGGGAAGCTGCATTAATCGGAAACAGTGTCCACTGATGAGCATTCTGGATGAGCAGTGAATGCCTGGTGAAAAAGGAAGCAAAGGAATTTGATACTGCACTGGGCTAGGGATTATTTGCGGGGACATAACCTAACAATTCGAAGAGTTGGACGCTGTCAAAAACATGTAATTGGTGGAGGCTGGCGAAAGGGGGAAGAGAGGTGATATCAGTAACATCAACTTTCAAATTGTTTAATCATAGTGGTTAAGAAGACCATGAGTAGCAAGCGGGTGTTTATAGTTCAGGAGATTTCCAGGGCTGGCATCATACAGTTTCACAAGGCTTGCACCTCACACCACTCAGACTGAATTCCAGATGGCAGGGGATGGGGACATGCCCGCTGCCTGAAAAGGTGGCACTTTTCTGAGGTCAAGAAGCCTTTGGAGGTGGTATTGGACTAAAACGGCTTGATGAACTATAAGGGTGGGAAAAGAGCAATACTTCTAAAAATATGCTACATGCTTTGTGCTTTGAAGTATTATTTATGTATAAATTAGTAGATTACTTAACACAAATAGACACACGACTATTTCTTCTATGTCCCATAGTCAATTTAGCTGACATTTTTTTCTGGATTTTTCTCTTTAGAAAGTGGGAAATTGCCTAATATTTAGACAATTATTAAAGATGCACACAGACATTTAGCCACAGCCATACACCCAGGTATGGACATAGCAGTGGCAGAGCTCAGAATTTTTTTGTCGAAAAAGGCACTCATTCCAGATACCCAATGGGCCATCCATGGATCTTATGCCAGCACCGTGACACTAATGAACCCATTCAGCAGAATATGTGTCTGTCTTGATGTCCTTTCTAAGAAGTCTAACGTGAAACTCTCATGATTTTAGCATATAGCATTAAACACAAGATGAGTGGCCCTGTCTGTCAATAGCTGTCAAGATTAAACACACATTCACAATATATTCAATTCCCTGGAGACGTACATGTTCCCTAAACACTCTTCCGCTCTCATCCATTGCTGGTAGGAATGTAAATTGAAGTGATAATTTAGAGGGCAATTCGGTAATGTACATAATTAAGTCTTAAAATATATATAATTTTTGCCCCAGTAATTCCAATTTAGAAAAATTACCCTATGAAATAATTAAAGAGGTACACAGAAATTCAGCCAGAGTACTTTCATAACAGCATTGTTTATAATGGTGGCCATCTCTAAACAACCCAATGAGATGATAAGGCGGTTAAGTAAAAGGGCAGTGACATAGTATTTGTTATATGTTCTGTTTTATACGATGAATGTATGTGCCTAGAAAAAAGTTTGGAATGAACTGTACTAAAATATTAACAAGGTTTATCTCTAAACACTGCATTATACATGTTTCTTTTTTTCACATGCTTTCTATCATTTTTAACAAACTTTAAAAAATATAAATCATTTTAATATTTTAAGGAACCACCTCTAACATTTGCCATAAAATGGTATTCACAGGACTTGTGCTTAGCTCTGTTAACATTTTCAGTGTTTAGAGTAGCATAATTCCTCATTTCCTGTGACCCCTCTACATGACAGCTGCCCATTGAGCAAAGCTGATTCATCATAAAATATTCTAGAAGGTGAGTCAGGGTCCAAGCTTCCCCACAATCCCTACATTCTTGAGTCCTAAGAATGAAGCAGTCTGGCTGGGACTCATTCTTCCTCAGCCCGACTGTGGCAGCGGAGACCAGCATGGAAATATTTCAGGCTACTGGAAGCAGCAGATATAGCAGGAACAGCTTTTATTCCCAAATATTATTCAGAACATTTGAAAAGCATAAACTGTTCCCATGTGTTTTTTCTCCTATATCTGTTCTCTCTCTGTTGCTTTCCCATTTAGTTTTTTAGAGCTAAATTTCTTCCTAGTCCTCACTTAACATTCATTGAGTAAATATTTATTGAGGATTGCTAAGTTCGCCATACTCGTCACTTACACTCAACGGTTCCCCGTTCCTATTTCCCCACACGACTTTACACTTATTGAATGCAATCTCTTTGACCGAGTTCCTTGCCTTGCGTGGGTAGAAACCTGGCTCCATACAGCCTTGTAGCCTTGCTAGCAGCATGCCACTGCATTGAGAGCTCCATGAGAGAAAGATAAATGATGTCTGTTTTGTTCATTCCTAAGCACCCAGTGGCTTGCCAAGTAGTGCCTGACACTGCTTGTGTTCATCAATACCTGGTTCTTTTCTCATTTTTAGCACACAGATTGCACATTTATCCCCTTGAAGGAGAGGAGGCTACAGGACCAGTTCTGACCAATGGGTTGCAAGCCCATTGATGTGTGTCACTTCTAGTTGGAAACATCTGAGAATAGTTCTGCATAGCTTTCTCTGCTGCAGGGATCCTTACAGAAGTCTTGTTTTAACCTAAGATGGTTCGCTTCAGAGAATGAGGTGGTCTGGATTGCTACATAGAGGAGAGGTGCCCCATAAAACTACATAAACATGCAGCAGGCTTTGAGTTAGTGAGAGAAGTAAACTTTTGTTGTGTTTAAGCAACTGAGATTTTTTTTTTTTGGGGGGGGGGAATCTTCATTACAGCAAGGCAGTGTGGCCCATACTGACTAATACATTATCTAGGGCATAAAAGTAGCTGCTTTAAAATATCTGTTGAACAAATAAAGATGTCAGAAAAATGGATTATATTTATAGGTCTCTTACTATGTTCAAGATTCCATGTCAGGCACCTGATCCTAATAATACTTAAGCCTCTCAACCAAGGGTCATCCAAATAAATTATTTGTTTATCCAAGATCACATAGAAGAATTCAAGTCTGCCTTTGAAATTATGTCTTATCACTCCGAAGTCATATTCTTTCTTCTATACAGCTTTTGACTTTTTTCTTTCAACATGTAATAATATAAAGAGTTGG